GTCAGACCTGACTCATAGCGACCCCTCCTTGGGTTTCCGAGGCAGTATCACTACGGAAGTAGGATTGCCCAACCTTCCTTCCGAGGAGTGGCTAGTGGGTTTGAACCGCCAGCCGTATGGTTAGTAGTCAAGTGCCTTAGCCACTATGCTACCAGAGCTCCATTACATTAGCCCCCTCCTTTTCCCCTCCTTCCTGCCCCTGGTAACTAATAAACTTTGGTCTCTACATATCTGCCTCTTCTTGTCTTTTTATATAAGTGAGATCCCACAATATTTGCCCTTTTGTGATTAGCTTATTTTGCTCACAACAATTTCTTCAAGCTCCATACACGTAGCATGTATCAAGACTTCATTCCTCCTAGTGGCTTAGTAGTATACCATTGTACATATGCACCACAGTTTGTTTATTCACTCATTCATTGACAGGCATATAGGTTGCTTTCTACCTTTTGGCTACTGTAAATAGTGCTGTGATGAATTTGGTATACAAGTCTCTTTCTGAGTGTCTGCTTTGAAGTTTTTTGGGTATACACCTAGGAGTAGAATTGCTGGGTCATATGTTAGTTCTATTTTTAGTTTTCTAAGGAACCACCACACTGTTTTCCATAACAGCTGTATTATTTTGCATTCCTAGTATCACTGGATAAAGGTTCTAATTTTTCCATATGCCTGTCAATATGTTATTTTCTGTTCTTTAATCTTAGCCATCATTGTTGTTGTTGTTGTTATTTGCCATCGAGTTGGCCCCGACTCATAGCGACCCCTCCTTGGGTTTCTGAAGCAGTATCACTACGGAAGCCATTATAGTGGGAGTGAAATGGTCTCACACTGTGGTTTTGATTCACTTCTCCGATGACTAAACACTGAGTATCTTTTCATGTGTTCAGTGGCCATTTGGATATCTTCTTTGGTGAAATGTCCACTCAAGTCCTTTACCCATTTTATGACTGGGTTGTCTTTTTGATGCTGTCAAAGTTGTATATATATTTTGGCTATTAGATTCTTGTCAGATATATGGTTTCTGAAGATATTTCCATAAGGTTTTCAATGGTTGATTTTTTGGTAAGTAGATTTCCAGGTTTTTCTTCCTAATCTGTCTTAATCTAGAAGCTCCACTGAACTGTTCAGTGTCAAAGCAACACATACGTCTTCACTGACAGACAGTGGTTGCACATTAACTGGTAATCAAACCCGGGTCGCCCGCACAAAAGGTGAGAATTCTAAAACTGAAGCATCAATGCCCCCTTAATTTTTGTTGTGTTGGTGTGCCACTGAGTTGATTCTGACTCATAGCGACCCTGAAGGGCAGAGTATTACTTCCCAATATGGATTCCTACAGTACACATCCCATAGGATTTCTCGTGATCTTCATGGGAGTAGATTGCTAGGTCTTTTTCTCCAGCAGAGCTGGAGAATTCACATTCAAACTGCTAACTGGTGAGCAACTGAGTGCTTACCATTGTACCACCTGGGATACCTGCAAAAAATAGGGTCAAAAGGTCCAGAAAAATGTAGAAATGGCTGGCCTTCTCTTGGAAGAGAGATGTCTGTATTGCCAACATCAGACATGTTGACTGAGGCATCATCTGCAGAAATTAGTGGAAGTAATGGGAAGAGATGAGCTCTCTCAGAAAAGCTCTATAAAACCTCATTGCTGTCGAGTCTATTTTGTCTCATAGTGAGTCTACAGGACAGAACAGAACTGCCCCACAGTTTTCTAGGCTGTAAACCTTTTTTTTTTAATTGTGATTTGGGTGAAGATTTACAGAGCAAATTCACTTTCCAAACAGCAGTTCACAATACTTTGTCTCATGACATTGACCACAGTTTACCACAATGCAACAGCTCCCCTCTCACTTCCTCCCCATAGTTACCTCTTCCCTGTGTCCATCCCTCCATGAGGCATAAATCTTTATGGAAGCAGACTGCCACATTTTTCTCCCATGGAGTGCCTGGTGGGTTTGAATCATGGACCAAGTTGAGAGCTTAATCATATACTGCCAAGGGCTAACACCTTGAGGAAGAGCTACAATTTTGGGGCTGGGAAAAGAGAAGCCAAGGAATACAACAAATGACTATCAGATAGCTCAAAGAATTCAGAGGAATATCAAGAAGACAAAGGGAGAGGCACAAAAAGTCTGATTCAGAGAGTAAGAATGCCACAGAAGTCAAGGAGAAATTCTATGTACTTTTAATTACAGGCACAATAACTCCATAGTTACAAATGCTATAATAAATTGCAGGGCAAGAATTATTTTTCCACCTTCTAAATGAAGGTTCAGCCCTGTATTTGCACTCATCTATTAATCTGAAGGTTGGCTGTTCAAACCTACCTAGCAGTACCACAGAAGAAAACTCTGGCAATCTGCTTCTGTAAAGATTATAGCCAAAAAAGCTCTGTGTAGTAGTTCTACTTTGTAACACATGGGCTCACCATGAGTCAGGGTCCACTACAGCGCAGCAGGTTTGGTGGTGTTTGTTTTAAGCTAAGGTTTGGTACCTGCCTACTTCTTCAGTCTCACTGATATGTTTACATTATAGGAGTTCCTCCAGTGTCCTGGAGAATTTTTGACTCAAGATCTTTGCACATGGTGCTTGGAATACTATTTTTCTTTTTAATATTTTATTGTTTTTTAGGTGAAAGTTTACACAGCAAACTAGATTACCATTCAACAATTCAATATACAAAATTATTTCATGACATTGTCAGTACTCTCATCATTTCTATCCTGCCTACCCATCCATCCAGCTTCCCTCCCCCTCTTTGCTTTCTCATCTTTGCTTTTGGGTTTGGAATACTATTTCTGCCAATCTTTACAGAGTAATTCCTATTCATCCTCCTGAACTCAGCTTAACTGTCATCTTTTCAGAGATCATCCATGATCCTTCTTTCTCTCCAAGGGGAAATTAGATTACCCTGTTAAGCTCTCTTCCTGGTTTTTTGTTTGTGGTATGTATCAATTATATAGGTGCAGTGGTTAAAGCACTCAGCTGCTAACCTAATGGTTCATGGTTGGAACCTACCAGCTGCTCCCCATGAGACATATGTAGCAGTGTGCTTCTGCAAAGACCTGCAGCTTTGGAAACCCAATGGGGCAGTTCTACTGTCATACAGGTTTGCTATGAGTTGGAATCGACTTGATCGTAGTGAGTAGTGGGTCTGTTAGTATGTGTGGTTTTTTAATGTGTGTCTCCCCCATTAGACTGGCAAGCTCCATGAGAGGTGCTGGGTGGAATCCTATCACAATGTTAGATACACAGAGGAGACTCAATAAATATTTGTTTAATGAATATTCCAATAAGAACTTCTAGCAAGCAAGCTAACAGAACAAAGTAGTGCATAATTTTGTTCGTCTTTTTAAATCAGCTCTAATATTAGAATGCTGATCAGGATAAGGCTTCCAATGTGAGGTATCAAGCTAACTTACACAGTAAGCATACATGGTGGCACAAAAGATGGCAGATAATTCTTACAGTAGATCTAAGGACTGCAATTCTTTCAAGTACTTTTTTTTTCCTCCCATAACACATGAAAATATAGCATCACTGCTGAAAATGTCATGCAGATAGAAAATAGGGCTGTCGCCAGGAGGCTAAAACGCCACATGCTATCCCCTTCCATTAACATGGTTGAGATGACGATTCCCTGATGGATCAGGAACTAATGAGAAAAAGTAGTTAAGAGCTAACCGTCAGAACTTTGGAGGCCCCAACAGCTTAGACTGATGTAAAAACAAGGCCTCTTCATGGCTCCAACAGCCTCAAGTGTGGGAAATAAAAATCTTGAGACGGAGGATCCGCCTATGATAAAAGCGTCCTCCCTCAAGCAGCAGGGTCACGGGACGGAAAGCCCGGGACCAGGCGACCGCTCGTACCTTGCTTGGCTCGGGGATCTCTGGTGCTGGCAACAGCGGCGGGGACCGGCCTGGCCACAGGCTTCTTATTTTGAGCCTCCACGGTAGCTCCAGCATCAGCAGATTTCGCTCTGGAAGCAGACACGGCAGCCCGGACGGCTGCGGCCCCTGGCGCCTTGTGTTTCTTGTTCTTGCCGCCCATATTGCAAATGCGGCAGAAGATCCCTTTGCACCCCTGCACCACCACAGCACTGTCACCGACAACTCTTCACATTCCTCAGCGCCCGCGCTGCCACCCTGAAACTTCCATCCGGGCTTCTTAGGCCTGGGCCGCCGCGGCTTCACAATTGGCCCGGTCCACAAAGGCTCCACCCCCACACACCCCGCCCTCCGGATACCTGCTGCGTGCAGCATGCTGAGCACCCTGGGCCGCGCATGGATCTCTGTACTTAAATTTCCGAGCTGCCTATACTTGGCAGGAAAGGTCTGAAAAGAATACGTAATCAGGGAAGAATTCCCTGAGGCCGTGTGACTCGACTACTTTTGACTCCCACGGGCCACTGTTGGGTCTTCACTAGACGTCACTGTCGGTGCCCATCGCGGGGCATCGTGGGTAGAAAAGACATTCGGTCTTTCCCTTCCAAAAGATGGCGGACGCTTTCGGAGATGAGCTCTTCAGCGTGTTCGAGGATGACTCGACTACGG